GAAGGCGAGTGTTGGAGAGATTCCGAGAAGCCACATTTCCTCCTTCCATGCTGCAAACAGGTGAATGCCAGAAATGAGAGTCTCACTATGCAAACCCCATTCTGGATTTCATACCATGGGCTGCGAGTGACCCCCTGTAGGAGAATTTAGAAGGAAAAGGCCTGCCTGGGGTCATACAATTGGATTCACGGCTTAGGTATGTGCTTACTCTCTGAAGGATTGGCTACCCTCCAGAGACGTAAGGAACAGGATGTGGAGTCCGCCCAAGGTCTTCGGGACTGGGCTGGACTCCAAGAACTAATCCTCATCAGGATCACGGGCTGGCCCCGGCTCCTGGACTGGACCCGTGTGTTGCCTACACATACACCATTTGGCTCTAAGCCACCTTTGTTAGAAAACTCCTAAGAGCCCCAGGAGGCAGGGACGCAGCGGCGGCTCTTCCTCGACAGATCCCGCTGTGTCATCACTCTCAGAAACGCCCGTGCTGCTTGAATGCCGGTGCTGAACTGGATGGAGGGGCCCTGATGGTATAATGTGGCTATGTACTTTCTGTTTCCCCTAGCTCTTTCCCTGTTAACAATAAATCTCTTATCTACTCTCCGGCGGCTTGTGGTGGTGTGTCTTGCGCATCGAACCCCAAAACGGAACTCAGTCTGTGCACAGCTATCGATATAGATTAATTACCGATACACCCCCATGCCAGGACCCCCAGATCCTACTACAGCGAGGAGAAGGTGAAGCCTCCCCCGATTAAAACCAGTTCCTACCTGCGCTAGGTCCATGAGAGCTAACACCGACCAGGAAGTCCGCGAACCGAGCGGGGGCCAAGACAAGCGGAGAGACGGTCTAGTGAGCTTACTCGAACACGCCTCCAGATCCTACAAGACGCGGAGGTGGCTGCCTCTCCTTACGGTGCTTCTCTGCAAACTGCCGCACAGCTGCCAGTCCAGGCGGGCCCGGTGTGCACAGAACACCCAGGATGGAGGAGCCAAGTGACCAGTAACACCGGAAATCCCGCCCAACCATACGGGACGCAAAATCGCCCTTTTTACGGGATCCTTATTGGCTCAACTCTCACCACCACTCACCTTGCACAGACGTCTGGGTAAAGTAGTTTATCTCGTGCTGGCAGCCAGGCCAAGGGAACTCTTTCCAATCTCATGAACTACCCACCAGACCCAATGCGGCGCTGAGAAAACGTGGCTTTTAGAAAGGGGCGGGGCTTCACATCTTCTTAAAGGGGAAGCACGCAGGTTTATCTGCCACCCACCACAGAAAACTTTAAAGACGTGATTTCATATGCCCCTGTTGGGGAGAAAGAAACTTTCCTCTACCCTCAAGGTTCTTTCATCTAGTATAATAATTAAATCTATAAAAGACAGATTAACAAGAGAAAATAACCAAATTTAATACATACCTACTGTGAACAAAAAGGGGGGTCTGTAGTTGTGGACAGAAATGGGGCCACAGGTTAACCCTGACAAGCTCAGGAGATTGAAAATAACCACATAAGATGGCGTGAGCATTAAAAACTTTCATAACCAAGTGGGCCATGATGGGAAGCCACATCTTTAGCTTCCTTCATAAAGTTAGTCTGTGCCTTTTCTGTGGGCCTCTCTGTTTTTCTGCACCTAAGATAACATCTTAGGAATGTCAGTAACCCTTTTTATGGACCAGAGCTGGAAACTGCAAAATTCCTCTTTATCATGCTTATCTCCTGATTACCATCTCTTTGTGCTGTAACAGAGCTAGCTGTTAGCTATCCTGCACCCACCTATGTAAACGAAGTACCTGTCTTTCCAATCTACTTTTATCCAGTCCCAGAGGTTTCCCTGCTTTGCTCTCTCCCACCCCCTTAATCTGTCACCAATGGATTTCATGTAACCTTCCTCCTTTGATTTTATGTGTAAAATAAGCTGCAAACCGCCAATTTGCGGAGCATTTTCTCAATCTGTTGAGATTTTGCTTCCCGGCAATTGTCGACAGTTTGGCTCAAATAAATTCTTATAAACTTTCTCTTAGGCTGGATGTTTTCCGTCAACATAGTAAATCTGATAAACTCAGCGACCGCAGTAACTTCACAGGGTGATCTGATTGAAAATCCCTGACCGGGCAGGCCGGGCAGGTCAGGGTGGGTAGTCTTGCCTCAGGCCCATAACTTCCTTAATATAAAGTTTATCTTTGCAGTAAGCACATTCTATTATTTGTTCTTGTGTATCTAGGTTAACACACCTTTGAAATGCCAGAATAATTCTCTTTGCCTGTCCCCTTGGTGTTGTAACCACTGCAAGGGAGCACATGATCTTGTTGCGAGTATACCATTACTATTTACTGTAAATATTAAATATTAACTATCCTGTACTTACCAATGTAAAAGAAGTGTATAATTTTCTATTTACTTTTTATCCAATCCTAGAGATTTCCCCATTTTGCTTTCTCCTGCCTCCTTAATCTACCATCAATGGATTTCATGTAACCTTCCTTACATTTTCTCCTTTGATTCTATGTATAAAATAAACTGCAAAAGTGCCATTCTCTGGAGCATTTTTTCAATCTGTTGAGATCTTGCTTCTAGACTAGTCCTCAATTATAAAATTTTTCTATAGGTTTGGACTTTCTTTTGTCGACAGTCTATAGGGCAGCGGTTCTCAACCTGTGGTTTGATACCCCTTTGGGGGTTGAACGACCCTTTCACAGGGGTCGCCTAAGACCATCGGAAAACAAAAAGATATTTACATTANAGGACCTTCTTCAGTATCTTTGGGCTCACTGTCGTCCCATATGTCTCCATTCCATGTATCTGGGTCCCATTCTGGTCCAGCAGAAGCCAGGGCCACCTGTACTTTCCTAACATTAACCTTTCCCCATCTTCCTTTATATTTATTCTTAGCAACCCGTACAGCAGCCGTCTCAGCCACATGTTGGTATGTGCAGGCTTGATCCGTTACTATCTGCGAATGGCATTGTGCCATAGGCAAACGGGACCGAACATCTTCAAGGTCTCTTTCTAATTGTACCTTCAAAGTAAACCATCCCATTCCAGAACCATCTGTGATTGTACCTGCTTAGCATCCCTTAGGTCTCTTTCTAATTGTACCTGCTTAGCAAGCAATGCATCCCGTTCCAGAACCATCTGTCTGTAAGCAGTTAACAAACACCATCCTTGCCTAGCCAAAAACTCTCGCTCTCCCTTTCCCGTGACCATCATTAATGCCTGCTGGACATCCTCCGGTTCAGCATGATGCAAAAAAGCATCCCAATTTTCGCAGAGGCCCGTCCCATGAGCCCATTCCTTTGCTAAAGGTGCGAAGTGAGTGTCTCCCCTTCCTGGGATTCGGGAGGAGACCCCAGGCCCCTGGAACTTTTGATATTAAAAAGGCCATCCTGCCGACTATGCCAATTTGTAATGGGTGGGGGCAGGGGGGAGAGAGAGAAGGAGGGGCACATGCTAGGGGGGACTAAATGATTTATTTAACAGTATTTAATCAATTTACTTAGCAATGTCCAATCAATTGAGTTAGCAATATACAATAGAAAAAGACAAAGGTAATCAAGGCAATCAAAAGAATGCAATTAAAAGAAAGGCAATTACAGAAGGCAAAGACAGTGAAAATTAAACTACATATACACATTAATAACAATGTTATGTCAAAGAAGCTCACCAAACCATGAAGGTATAATGCTTGAGAGGTCGGGAACCAGCCAGACCTCACCAGGTCCAGTTCAGCAGCCAGCGTGTCTACTGATGCTGTAACCTGTAAGCTGTACACACGTTCCCAAAGATGCTAGAATGATGACAACTCACCAACAAAAGAATTCTTTACTGTCCATTGAAGCAATTTTTAAACAATCCAGTCCTGAAAAGCAGTCCTAAAATGGCAAATCCTCTGAAACAGCAAATCTTCTGAAACAGTAATCTTCTGAAAGGGCAATCTCTTGAAACACTCCAACAGCACTCTAACGGCAATCCAACAGCAAATAAAAGATTCCTTATGCCACCTGAGGCCTGTCTTATATGTCCTTTAGATGCACCCCACAGCCAAGTTTTTGTTCCTGCCTCCCCGCTTAAGGAATAGCCAAAGGAATAGCCAGTTCCGGGAGGGTTCCACAGTTAATGTTGTCTATCCAGCTAATGAAAACAACACCTACTGTTCTCACCTGGGACTATTGGCCCAAGGCCTTCTAAAGTATGGCAAGGTGCCTGTCATATCATCCTGACATAACTCAGCTACTTCTTCACTCCATCTGCTGATGCAGCGAAACAGACAGAAAGCAACATTATCTCACATCTCCCCTGCCGGGAATGAGGCAAGGGAGAATT